CTTATAGAAAAACTACAGCCGAGGCTATTATCTCAGAATTCACCTGGCTTGGGAAGATCCTTACACAATGTACATTGTCATCTCAGTGCCACATGCATCATAGTAACTAGAAGACCTGATATATTAGGGCAAGTCAAATGGAAAGAGTAGCCAGAGTTCACCTATATTTGATTGATCCTTGATTGTCAATAGAGGCCAGCAATACTGCTTCAACTATAACTTAGGGCTGTATTCAAGGCACTTTAAGTTTTTTCTGTGGTTCAAATAAAACCCAGAATCTGGGAGGTGGAAGTGAAAAGATGGACTATAAAAGCTGCCTTTATCCCACCCTTACCTTTTTTCATTGAAGATTAGGGTCATGCTATTTAGACTTTAACACTGTTATTTCTACAACTTCTCTCTATCAGAAAAAAACCCGTTTATTCTAATTCACACTATCCAACAAGTGTAAACTGGGGGATGTTGCAATAAAAGGCAAAATACACAAAGCATTTCTATCAGATGAAACTCTACACACTAATCAAACAGGCATGTAGCCAGTGCTTCTTAACAGGTGAAGTGTTATGAAAACTTTTTGGAATGCAAGTTTCACGTGTGGTAATATGAGATGAGGTAATATCCAACAGATTTCAAACACAGTCCTTCCAAAATGTTCTACGGTATCCATCTCCACTGCATTGAACACTAAAGACCACAAACCCTCCAAATGCCATCTTATCTCCAATGTGAAGGTGAGCCAAAGATCATTTCATATAACTTCCAGTCAAAGAACTGTCCAAAGATCTTTCCCACAGATGTCAGTCACATGATCCTATGACACTAAACAGATGTAATGATCACAGGAGGTGAGTCCAGGTATAAATTTCCCAGACCATTTTGCTTTTGATGAACAATGTCATAGCAATGCTCAATTAGGTATCCATTGGACCAATCAGGTTGATAATAAATGGTCCCATTTCCTTGGGAAGCAAGGGGAGGATTTCCAACAGGATAAGTCCTAGTGAGAGGACATATCCCATCTACCTCTTAAGGAGCTCTTTCTACACAACCTTATTGGTGAGAATCATGAAGAGCATTGTCAAAATGGTGCTCAATTATTTTCTGGTTGCACAGCCTTTTCAGTTATCCTATCTAACTATGTAGAGTGGGGTGTACATAGGATGCTTGAACTGAGAGTTTTCCACATGAACCATTTCTGGCAGTAAGGTTACTGTCTATTCTTCACTCATCTAGAACCCATGGTGAACAAAATGAGTTTTCAATCCATTACAGCATTATTACTTTCTGTGTTATGTGATATCTCAGTCTTCAAAAAAATGTGAGTAGTACCCACTAATAAAAGGTATTTTTGTTCATTTTAATGGAAATACTTCAAAGGCTATCTTTACCCTTTTGGGATTCTGTGGATGTTTCTAATCCTCCTTTCCTTTATTTTGAGATTCTTTAATTGGAAGCTATTATTGTCAATTTATGAGAGGCAAGGATTGTGATCTTTTATTCCAGAGGTTTTCAACCTTTTTTAAGCAGGTGTTCCCGCTGGGTTGCAATCCCCCTTTCTTGGGCAGTTCTAGTCCTGTAGGTAGATGTCACTATCCTCTTGGGACTGCTTTGGTATCGGAGCAGCTCTCTTTCGCCCGAGGCCCTGACCTTGTTCTCACCCACCACGACTTGATGTTTTTCGGCCTCACGCCACCTCTAGTGCGTCCTTCTTCTGTGGGTCCGATTCCTCGGTGGTGGTGGGGATATTCCCGCTTTCCTTTTCCCTGTTTGACCCCATACAAGGTTGCCGCACAGGTTCGGATTCCTCACAGCGCCTCATCACTATTCGTATGAAACACTGCCTCAGCTATCCCAGCTAGGGCATCCGATATAAGACCAAACAAAATACCATAACCAAACTTAAAGCCTCGCTACCCAGCCCCTTTTGCTAGCTGAGGATCCTATCTGGAACTCTCCGGTCCTTCTGGGCAGTCCCTGGCCCCTAGTCTCCCTCGGACCCCTCCAATTTCCTATCCCTATGGCTCGGCAGTGATCCCGCCCCGGTTACGCTCTCTCCAGGCTCTCCCAGGTCTTCTCCCTCTTTGGGGTCACTGCGTCTCCGCACCACTGCCCCGGCACTCCACCTGTGGGTCATGCTGTCTTTGGGTTCATGCCCTGTCGGTCCCTTCGTGGCCGTGCTCCCTGCTCCTCTTTGGTCTGATGCAGTCTCCAGCCACGCTGTCAGCCTCTGTTCATGTGGAGCCTCGCCGTCGGCCGATACCGCCACTTTTTCCCTTTGTGGAGCCAGCAACTGCTCCTCCCTGGGGTCTCCACCCCTCCCACTGGTGGAGCTTCCAATTGCCCGGTCCTGGGTCTCTCCACCCCTTCCGTTGGTGGAGCTGTCTCTTTTAGCTTCCCCGGCTGGCGTCCTTCCCTGACGTCACCGGTTGGACGCACCTGCATAAACACGCGGCTGATGCGCCGCGCGGGTCCTTTCGGCGGCGGTGTGTGTTTCGCCTCGAGTTCTGCAGGTAAGCCCCGTTTACTAGTCGTCTCCCTGGGACAGCAGGGTATGCCTTCTGGCAGGTACCCTTTCCAGATGCAGAGCAGGGGGTGTTCTGACAGACACTGGGAGGGGTGCTGACAGACAGCCAGATGTGAAGCTGGCATGTGACTGCCAACACCTTCTATACACTCCGCGTCACCGCCGGGTGCTGCTTTCCCATGCCCAAGTATCCCCACTTCTCCACACCATCGGCTTTGCATCCAGCCAGCCGTCAGCACCCTCTCCCCTCTTGGCACACAGTGGCACCACAGGGAGCACACAAATGGCAGCCACCCCCATCTACACACTCAGCACTGCCGCCATGTGCTGGGGGGAGAGGAGGGGGTGCTCACGGCCGGCTGCACACGAAGTCGGTGGCGCAGAGAAGCGGGGATACTTGAATGCAGGAAAGTGGTGCCCAGTGGTGGCACAGAGTGATGGATGGTGGCAGCAGCCATGCCCTGCGCAACCTTCCTGAGCCCAAGTATCCCTGCTTCTCTGCACTATCAGCTATGCATGCTGGCAGTGGCACGGAGTGATGGATGGTGGTGGCAGTCTCACCCCCTCTGCTGCCACTTCCCAAGTACCCGCACTTTTCCATGTCACTACTGAGTAACCCCTGGGGCCTTCCCAAGTACCCCCGGGGGTATGTGTACCCCTGGTTGACAACCTGTTTTATTAGATCATCTGTATAATTGGGAGATTTGTTCAGCAAGCTATCAGGCATCAATCAGGTGCCCTATCTCAGGTCTAAGGAAGAGGCAGATACAGGTTAAGCTTAATATCTGAGGAAACCCCCCCTGCAAATGCAAATGGTCCACTCAGAGGGCTGTGAACTAGATGTGAAGAGGTATTATAAGAAGAAATTCTAAGACAAAAATTATCTTCAATAGCAATAATCATAGTCAAAACAGACATAATTACATTTCACAGTCCTTAAACTTCTCAGATGACCTGCTGGATTAAACTTAAAAATGTTGACTTCATGCTTCATGACTTCTACTATATTAATATTTGCTATGAAGCTGCTGTATTTTCAGCAGTATTAGAGGCAGTTACTGAAGCTGCTAGGAAGCTCAGTTACATTTTTTCCTCCCAGAAGGGGAGGCATTTTTTTTCCTATGGCCTTTTCTCCTAAGTCTGCAGAGTAGAGAATGATACCTCTTGCATCCACAGTGGAGCTGCCAACTGTCAGTAAATTTTCTTACTGTCAGTAAAAAGAAAAATTTTAATCAAGCTAGAAAAGGATGTCTGTAAAGTCTCTAAAAAATATGTTAGCCATCAGTAAAAACAATAAGCAACTGCAGCTTGACTGAAGATCTGACAAACAGAGCACAGCAGCATCACCTGTTGTCCAAACAAAACTGTAGCACCCTGCAAGGAGTGTTCTCTCTTCCATGGGCTGCTGCTGCTGCTGTTGCTGCATCCCAGGCTGCCTGTAATGCTGCTGGGTTGCAGGTAAGCATCTTTGGGGGTCCATGTCAAGAGGGGAGAAGGGAGTGGGGCTGGTGCAGGGAAGAACATGATGCAGGTTGTAGTTGAGGGGGCATCAGGGTATGGGGGTGAGTAGAGGACCCCTGGAGGGACAGAGGGCAGCACAGAGTAAAACCATCACTGCAGTCAAGCAGTGTTGCCAACCCAAAAAAATTATTTTTAGTGCAAACTTTTTACTGACAACCAAACATTTAAACTTATTTTTTACTATGGTTAACCCCTAAATTTGAACCCAGACCTTCTAACTGGGGCCTGGCAGCAGGGTAGGGCTTGAAAGAAGACTTATATTTACATTAGTTAAAATTTATATCAGTAAAAACATGTGTCAGTAAAAATAAGTTTGGCTGTCAGTAAAAAGCTTGCAGATTATCAATATACTAAAATTCTTGAGTTGGCAAGAAAAGAAAAATTATAAGCAGGTCCCTTCTAACATTGCATGTCATAGTTTTCATAGATTTCATAGACATTATGGCTGGAAGGGACCTCGGAAGATCATCGAGTCCAGCCCCCCGCCGAAAGGGCAGGAAGTCAGCTGGGGTCATAGGATCCCAGCAACATAAGCATCCAATTTGCTCTTGAAGGTGTTCAATGTAGGTGCTTGAACCACCTCCGATGGCAGGCTGTTCCAGACCTTGGGGGCTTGGACAGTAAAGAAATTCTTCCTTATGTCCAGCCTGAAATGGCCTTGTAGTAGGTTATGACCATTCAACCTCGTCATCCCTTGGGGCGCTCTGGTGAACAAATATGAGGCAGTGTGTGTGTGTCTGCTCCCAAATACTGTTCAGCTTATATAACATATAGTTGAGATCTATACTGGAAACACTCAATAATCAGTGAAAATGTCGAAACACTCCAAATATATTTATGTTAAGGTATTCAAAATTAATCAAATTGCTAAACAAAAACAGGTCATAGTACAACACAGAAAAATAGGCTATTAACCTATTGCCTAAGAAGATTTCTCAGTTATATTTTAATTTACCTCTTTTACTCTCAGGTAATCAGTGGAAGAAATTTTAAGAATTTCACAGTCTTCTTCTGTAATGACAGACATCAGCATGTGCTGCATTTTTGGTGGGAGTAATTCCAAAGTCCCAAAACAGCTTCCACTAACAAGCTACAATAAAGAAATACATAAAAATATATCATAATGTATCAAACTTGATTGTCCCTCTTTATCAGGAAAGCAGGGTGGCAACAAAATTTTAAAATTAAGTTTTATATATCAGTTTGTTTTGAATACTATATATTTTACTTTCTGAAAGCCCAGCCAAATTATACTCACTGGCAATGGCTGATATTTTATGCATTAATCATGCAATCATGTGGTAAATAGGGATGGTGATAATATATCAGAATACTATGGTAATGAAGTTCAATTTGATGCAACATTTTTGTAAACAACCGTTATGCAGGATCCTCCTTGTAAAAAATGAGCATTATTCCCAGAACCAATAGTTTTGTCTTATGAATGTGTCTTTGCTTTAAAGAAATCAGCTTTTGGGAGAATGCCCATGACAGGTGGGTTCATCAGAGAGATTTGTGATAACGGGCCAGATCCTCAAGTGACATAATCTGCAAAGTTTTACCACTTCATACCAGCTGAGAATATTTCTTGCTGCACATGTGATGTAGCTGAACTGAGATAACATGTGCCATCACATTTTAAGCAATAAAATACCAATTGCAGCATATATCTAATGAAGTTATTTGGTGTACTCATATGTGCTTTGTAATTAGCAGACGAGCAAATATTTAAAATAACACAGAAGGAAAGTCATGACAATAGGTCAATTCAAATTATTACCTGGATAATACTTGCCATTAACACAACTCTGTATTCTCAGGGTGAGAATACCTAAATGATGTTTTAGGCAGACAAGGTCCTGTAGGTAAATGTGATATATTTTATTAGACCAACTAAATAGTTGGAAAGATTGTTCTTTGCAAGCTTCTGGGTACAAACACCATGTGCCTGAAGAAGGGTGTTTGTACCCAAAAGCTTGCAAAGAACAATTTTTCAACTAATTAGTTGATCTAGTAAAAGATATCACATTTACCTACAAGACCTTCTCTGCCTATGTCCTTAGACCAACACCACTGTAACTAACAACTCTAAATGGTGTTTTGAAATGACTGAAAAGGGAAATATACAACTCGAATACATAACCAGCACCTGGCTCCATGCCACCAACTCTGCATATTACTGAAATGGAGAGTGCTCAGAACTTCAGAGAAGCTCAACACCAGCAAGCAGAGGGGCGCATCCAGACAAGCCCGCACATGCTTCTTGCAGTGACTCAAACCTCTTTGAGACACTGCAAGAGGCATGTGCAGGAATGAGAAAATGTTCCCTGTGCTGCAACTTTGTAGCGTGGGGGGAAAATTGGATCCCTGGATATCCAGGGATCAAAAAAACCTGCACAGAAAAAAAGCATGACTGTGCCCTGAGGCAACCAGAGGCAGGGTCTTCCATAGAGATGCTCTTGCTACCAGAGCATCTCTATGGTGAGCCCTCACCCTGGTGATGAAGAACGCTGTGGGGGCTCTCTGAACAGTGTGCCAGCAGCAGGGAGCTGGACCCAAGCTCCACTTCTGGTAAGGGGTCAGGAGGCTAGAGGAGGGGGGAGGGGACAATAGGGGGGACCCCCACCAGCCCTGCCTGCTTCCCCAGCCCCCCCAGTTCCCTGAGTCCTCACAATCCCTTTCCCACCTGGCCCCATCCCTCCCAGCTCCTGAGCACCCCCGATCCCTGCCCCCCTGATCCCAGCATTGGGAAAAAACAAAACAAACCACACCCCAGCATTTACTGGCTGTTTGAGCTACCCTCAAGGTCACTGGGACCCTCTCTGCACAGTGCAGGGCAGGATGATGGCCCCAGTGGTCCCAGCCCAGGCCCTGCTGCCCCCTGCTGCCCTGTACTGCCTGGGGGGCTCTGACAGGAGGCCTCAGAGCCCCCACAGCCCCTGCTTGGTAAGTAGAGGCTTTTGTTTTTTTAAGTACCAGAGGCTGCGGTTGGAGGGGCAGCCATGGGGGGCTTGGGGTGCAGGTGGGGGCTGGGTGGCCAGCCATCGGGGGGCGTGGGGGAGTGG